CGGCCCCCACCCACCGCCTGGCCGTGTCCCCCGGAGAGACCCTCGGGCGCTGGGCGCATTTGCACGACTAACATGCGGGACACAGTCTGGAACCGGGCGTGGGTGGGAGCGGGAGGCGGGGGCTTTAGAGACGGGTGAGAGGGCAGAGCTCTCTGCACAGAGCCGCCTGGAATCCCTTGCCCGCCTTAGGAGTGCTATGAAGAAAGGAATTGCTGTAGGAGAGGCCTAACGTTAGTGACCACCACCACCTTTGGGACTTTCCTGGCCTTCTGGGGCGGGGGGGCTCTCCAGGAAGCATGCTGCGCTACAGGGTCAGGACTTGAAGGGGCATCTGACCCAGGGGCCCTTCTCCCGGGAGGGCGCTCCTCACTGTGGGCCCTGGGGTGCCAGCTGACAGGAGCGGCCAGAGGCGGCTGAGCCTACCTTGGATGCATCCAGATCCGTGGGGTGCTTCATCACCTTGGGGTCGTAGCCATTGTGCCTGAGTTTAATGACAGGGTCAAAAAGGTCGGCAAACACCTGCAGGAGGAAAGATGCTCCTGTTTCTCTTTAATTGGTGCGTCTACTATGAAAAGACGACCATGCAGGAAAGGGTGTGAGTGGATTAGTAGTTAATAGCGGTGCAGGTGATGATGGTGATGATGGACTTCCACCAGAGAAAGCAGGACTCTGCCCTTGTACCCTCCTCCCTAATGATCGCTCTAAGCTCACTGCCATCTGACGGAACAAGGAAATGTTGCGTTTAAGGATCTGAGGGTTTTCTCCAGGAGTTCTTGCCTTTGGGGTAAAAGAAGCCGCTAGATCAGAGGCTACGTAGTTCTGTGGTCAAAGGGAAGGCGAGTTTCTAGAGTTTAAGCAACAGAATACATTTGTGGAAACCCCCGGCCGCACCAGAAGAAACGCATCCAGCATCAGTTAGGGCAGAGCAGGGACCCCTCACGCTGTGCGGACCTTCCCAACCTGAAATACCTCGTGCAAAATCTATTTTTTTAAACTAAAAACGTTAGGAGCAACGTTTAAGTAAAAGAACATTCAGAGAAGTCATAACAGAGCACCCTGCAGGCTTAGGGAGCTGTGGGAAATGGGGGTGGGGGTGTTGGGCCAGGGAGCTAGCTCTGGTCTGGGACTCCAGGGAGCCCAGAGCTGTGCATTGCTGTGTGTGAGGGAGCTACCAGCCTCAAGGCGGCCCCTCCCTCCTCCTGATGGCTGCCCTCCCAGGGAACTGCCTTCACCTCCTGCAACAGAAGGGGGCCTCGGGGAAGCAGCCAAGACATCTGCCAGGACTAGAAGCTGCTCTGTGGAGAGGGCCACAGGTGGCTGAGCTCCCCTAGCGGCAGGCCGTCCTGTGCTTCTGTGCCAAGGATGAGGATGCGGAGATCATGGGATTTCCCAGAGACTTGAACTCAGAAGCCTGGGCTGCAGTGGCTGTGTAATGAGTAATTCTCAAACTAAAGACACACCACACCGTCCTCCACCCCCAGTAAAGCCCAGCCACTAACACATCATCTCCTAATGCAGCGGTTCTCAACCTGTGGGTCGCGACCCCTTTGGCGGTCGAACGACCCTTTCACAGGGGTCGCCTAAGACCATCCTGCATATCAGATATTTACATTACGATTCAAAACAGTAGCAACATTACAGTTATGAAGTAGCAACGAAAATAATTTTATGGTTGGGTCACAACATGAGGAACTGTATTTAAAGGGCCAGAAGGTTGAGAACCACTGTCCTAATGTCTTATGGGTGAATACACACCAATAAAATAAAAAGCATATATTTTCCCAATTCGTCCCCTTGACAATCTCAGAGAGCTCTGTCATGCAAGCAATTCCTCCCTGGGAGGAACTAGAGCAACAGCAAGGGAAGCTGCAGACCTCATTGCTCCAGCAAGCTTTCTGGATGTTCTGCTGGGTTCCCTGTGAGGCAGCCCTGCCTGAGAAGGCAGAAAGCTGGCCCACACAGAAAGGGACTTGCACCCAGAGCCCGCCCCCGCGCCCCCCCACCCCCGCCCACTCCAGAACCTGTAGCTGATAGTTTTACCTCATAGGACTCCTCGTCACCAGCCACCATGCCCACAGTCTTTATGAAGGGGTGACCAGGGTTGTCCACTCCAGTCTGGATACACTGGTCCAGAGTGTAGCCTTTGGGCGTCATCTTGTTGCGGAGCTTGGCGTAGATGGAGGGGGTGAGGCACTCGGCCATGCAGTTGTTGTGCTTGCGAAGGTCAGGGTAGTCTGCACTGTGCACCAAGGGGACAGGCTTTCAGGGAGCAGCCCTGAAGGGAGGGCCCTATGAATGGCCTTTGTGTCTGCCCATCCTTCCACCAGGCTCTCTTTAGCCAGTAAGCACGAGACACTTGGCTAGGAGTCATGACTTATGTAAGCCAGAGTAGAAAAAAAAAGTCCCCTGAATTGCCAAAGAAAGGGACCTGGCTGCAGCGGCCCACCCTGGCTCATGCTCATGTAAAAGGGAGGTAGAGTGAAAATAATTAGAAAATAAATGGAGTCACGTGCACTTTTTAACCCAGAAGTTTTGGTAAAATACAACAGGTGCGTTTTGGTGCCTTGGGTCTCGTGATAGAGGCTGAAACCCCGCAGGTGGGACCACACAGAAAAGCAGCCATTTATCCGCCCTCTTTCTCTGATGCAAGCTCTGTGACTATCTGCTTTGTTGAGTCTGGCTATTGAAACAGGCATTCGGTAAATATCTGTTGGAATAATACATAGAAAGAAATAAAATGTCCTACGCTGGGATATGAATTGAAGAATAGGGGATGCGGGACCACCACAGGCTCAAACACAGGCCATCTCACCTCAGGAATCCCTGAGGTGCATGTTGGGAGCAGGTCATTCCCTCAGAGACCAATTCCCACAAGAGCCGTAAATGTCTCTGCGAAACACCGGGCTTTCCCCGCCGCTCCCACCCACCCCTGCATGTGGAATCCCTTAGTCAGCTCTGCACTTCAGCTCTATTTAGTGTGCGCTGTCTCAGTCCTGGCCAGGTCCCAAGGGCTGAAGAAACAAGTCCATCTTCAAGCCACGCCTCCACGTCCTGCCTGCCATGCCCTTTAAGCTGACACTTAAAATCAGCACTATGTGATTACATGTTCCAGAAGGCAGTGTAGCAGTGAATGAGGCCTGAGTCTGCAACCAGTGTCCCTGAATCTGCATTTGGCTGCACTAGTTGTGTGCACTTAGGCACTATTTAATTTTTCTAAGCCTCCGTTTCATCACAAAGGGATGCTAAGGTGAATAAAGTAGATACTCCATGTATAGTGATTAACACACATAAAAGTGCTCAACAAATGTTAACTGTGACTATTATTACTATCCAACCAGACTGCAAGCTCTGGGCAGGAATGGTGACGCTACACTTCCTTGTATTCGTCACCTAGCTGTCCTCCCGGGCAGTGTCCAGCAGGGGGCAGCATAGTTCTGGCTGGCACCGGAGCTATTTGAAAGCCAAGAGGACTTACCTCGGAGGGAATAGCTTGTGCTGTTCCCGGGCCTCAGCACGCACATTCTGCCGGTTCACCAGGTACCCGGTGGTCAGGGCACTGGTGCCCAGCGTGGCAAATAACAGAGAAGCATTGCGGCCAGTTAGCAACTTAGAGAAGGCACTGGCCATCCTTCCTCTTGGTTGAGTGTCTGGAAAGCAGAAAAACTGGGTGAGACAGCCTCACTGGATGGCCCTGAACCCCAGTGTGGAGATCAACCGGCACGAGAAAGAACTGCAGCAGCCGGAGCCTGTCTTCTGGCGTGTTTTCCTCTTTCTTCCTTTCTCCCCCACACCCCTTCACACTGCTGGGGAAAATCTGGGTGGTTTTGCACATTGTGAATGTCAAACTCCCTGAAGTCCACGACCCTTTCTCCGATTGCCACTTTCTGGCTCCCTGGAAGGTCCTTTCCATCGCTTCACGCCCAAGCAAGCTTCACTGTCTTTTTAAAAAAAAACTAACATTTATTAAGTTCCTACCATGAGGCATGTGCCATGCAAGGGGCCTTACAAACATTGTCTTTAGTCTTTGCAACAATCTGCCAAGTGGGCATTATTTTTCAGGTGGGGAAACTGAGGTTCAAGACCTCCAGATCTCAGAGCCAGCACATCGAAGAGCTGGGATTTGAACCCAGGCTTGTCTTTGGCCCTGGATTCAAGCCTCTTGCAAACTCCAGCACCTACAGACAGCCCTTCACTGACCAGCAGTTACCGGGAAAATGACCTTTGTGGTTGAGGACCTAGGAGTGCCACAGATCACTCCACTCCGTTAAACCCCTAAAACCATAGCAATGCATTTATCACTGCAGCTCCTCGTCATAGGATTATCGCCTCAGGGCATGTGACTCTCCCCAAGTCCCAGAATATTCTTTCTAAGCCTGTTCTCTCTCCCTGTCCTCAAACTCCTGCTGAAGTGGCGTGGACGCCAAGGGTACCTCTGCTCACTCCACTCTGATCCCAGGTGCCTGACACGACAGCCAGCCTGCTGGGCCCGCCAGCCTTCCTCTGAGATTTGTTCTTGCCTTCTGTCTCCTTCCCTCCTCTCTCCTCCCTTGTACAGAACTAGGGATTGCAGGGGTGAAGAAGGAGGTCATGTCTCACTCTGTAGGAGCTGTCTGCCTCAGTTTCCCTAACCTGGAACACCTTTGTGACTCCTGATTTATACAGCATTGTTTACAGCATCAGAACTAAAATCTGACAGAATTGCTGAGCTCCAAGCCAAGGAGATTTTTACATGTGGTGCAAGATGACAGCCAAAGACAATGATAGTGTTTTAGTCCTAGACTCACCCTCTCCATTAAAAAGCAAGAACCACCAGATTATGCCCTTTTGTTTGAGCGCCAGGAGCTGTATATCTCTCTGTCCCAGGCAAGTGTACTGAGAGTCTGGGTCTGGGTCTAAGGGTTTTGTCTGGTTCCATAACATTTGGAATGTGCAGGTGTTGACTTCTGTCATTGCCTCAATTCTGAGCCTCCTGGTTGTCCTGAATATCCTGGATGGAGACACCGTGGGTGCCTTTCTGCTGACTCAGAGTCATTTCTGGTCCAGCTGTACACAGCGCCCATGTGTCTGAGCTGCTAGGGGACGGAGGGCAGTGGCAAGACCACGTGTCAGCTTTCCATCCAGAAAGAATCACCCCCCAAACAGTGGATGTCCAGGGTTGAGCCAGGTCCACAGAACACTCTGAACCAATTCCCACGGTTGCCAGCCTCCTAGGCCAGCAGAAAACGGCTGTCTCCTCCCATTCCGAGAGAGCACAGGGTTCACATCACTCATCACCTACTGGGCACCCTTGGGCATCTGTCTTATTCAGCAAGTAGACAGACATAGGCAGGAGATGTTTACAGCCTTTACTTATAAGACAGAGGCCTTTCCTAGGATTCCTTGTGAGGAAGACATAGGACCATTACCAGACTCCTCTCTAAGGGTAAGTTGTTTTTAAGAAAATAGGAGGTTGGAAACATCTAGTCCTTTGAAATGCTGTAAAGGAGGAGGTGCCTCCCTGCCTGCCCAAGGTTAGGGTTCTCTGTGGCTTCTCAGGCAGGGTAGATGACCTCCAGCAGTCACCTTCAAGGCTGGCTCCCTCTGGGATTCCTGACTCAGTGGGCAGGAACTTCAAGAATGCTTGACACACGCTCCTGCCTGGTTTCCTCTGAGAAGACAAAAGGGTCCTTCTCGAAGCTGCAGCAGAGATGGAGACCCAGGGCCTCTGAGCCAGGGACCAAGCCACCTCCTGCCTCTGAGCACCCACGACTCCCCATGCCTTATCCTCTCCTCACCCCCACAGTTTCCTGAACCTTCCTCAGCCAGTCCTTTAGGAAAATCCACCTGGCCCATTCTCAGAGGATGTGATTTGATCCTGAAGCTGGCAGCGCACACAGGAGCATGTGGCACTCCTGTGCTTTGCTGGGATGGTGCCTTAACCCATAACCCATAGGAGATTTAGCGCTAAAGGCGGGGGTCTTTGGAAGAGGTGCTTATAGATGCAAAGGAGGAATTGGGTGCTCACACAGCCCAGTAATGCCCAGATCTCTCGAAGAGCCCTCTGGGTCAGGAAGGCCCTGGGTCAGTCAAGTTCCTGTGTGGTCTTGTTCTCCAGGAGAACAGAGAGAACATACCAAGGACACTAGGCATGGGAAGCGTGAGAGCTGCAGGCAGGAAAAAAGCCCTCTGGCAACAGCACACCAGTTGCATTAGCGTAGCCTTGTCATGGGGGCATTAACCGCCATGCACATGGCCCCAGCTGACCCTGGGGGGATCGCAGAGCAGGAAGGCCTGAAGGGCAGCACTAAGGAGAGCCTGAGGGTTTGGCTTGTTCTGGCAAATGTGTTCTGGCAAATCCTCACGGGAGCTGCCCAGTTCTCCACATGCACCAGGTCATTCAAAGGCACAAATGTCACCCACTCATGAAGCAAGAACAGGCTGACAGCAGCTCACCGAGAGCCAACTAGCCAAACACATACAGGCAATGCCCAGCAGTTTTCCCCTCCGGTGGGGAAGAAACAATACTTGGTTCGTTATTAACGTGTTAGTCATTTCAAGAATGATGCTCTAGCAACAATGTGAACCAGTTTAAATTGGATCCAGCTACTGGGCTGACTCGTAATGAGCTCCTTTTGGGGGCCTCGCAAAGTTCATTTTCCAGTTAGTATATCCCAAGCCAGTGACTGGCACCTGTTCTTGCTGCTGAGGAAAACCTCTGCCAGAAACAAACCCATTAGTCTCTGTAAATTACAAGGGAGGGAAAGTTGAAGGTTAAAATCCCACATTCAGTGGCATTTAGATGTTTTTTTTCCATCAAGAAAAAAATAATCCTGATTCTCTATCAAAAACAAGCATTGCAAGCAGGGTGCTGGTGGGGTTCCGGCACCTCATGCAGAGCTGTCCCACGGGAAGGACCTGTCCCCTGTACCTGTGCCCGTGTGCAGGGGACAGGGGAGCCTTCAGCCCAGGGCTTCTTTAGTTACCACCACAGTGCCAGGACAACCGTCCTACAGGTGGTCCCGGCCTCCAGCCCTGGGGCCCCGGCTCACCAGACCCCCCGCACGGGCTCTAGCAGTGCCCCGGCTAAAGAGGCAGAAAGCTGAGTTTCATGGTCTCACTGACCTTGGAGCCGGAGTCTCTCGCGTCCTGCCGCAAGCACACAGCCAAGCGGTGTGTAACGCGAGCTGGCAGGGTCCAGCCTGGACAAGGCTCGGGCTGGGCGGGGCTGGGCCCCTCTGGCCAATCCCATCCAGGATCTCTGGCCACACTTGTTCCCCCAGCTGTGCCCTTGAAGGCCAGCCCCTGACTTCTCTGCCGCCAGCCCTGCGCTCTTTCTAGCACCTGCCCTTTCTCTGAAATGGTCCCTTCGCCCAAGTGTGGTCCTGGAAGCTGCCTCCCCCGGGATCTGGGAGGGGTTTGGGGGCCTGCAGCCCAGCTCACTGGCTGCCCCATCCTGCAAGACCCTGCATCTAGGTGGAAGGGCCTGCCTGGAAACTCACACCAGTTAGGGGACTTGTTTCTACCTTCCCTCAGGAGCACCAGCCCTGGGGCTGCGGTTAGGTCTGCAGAATGACCCCCACCCCAGCCGCCCAGGCCTGGGAGGAAGAGATGTCTAAAGCTCCCGCTCTCCTGCTGCTAATCAAGCTCTGAGCCAGGGACAGGGACCTCCCTCCACCTTGCATGGGGCCCTGATTCAGGGCAATCACAACCATGTCGGAAGCAGATTGCTAGATAATCTCACTTTCTATCCACACCAGCTTAATATGCCACCCAGCAAACCCAGCAGGCCATATTCCCGCTTAAAAATAGCCCTCCTTGGGGCAGGCACCACCAACCGGAAAGGTTGGCCGTAAATAGCAGTGACCCACCAGGACTTTGGACAGCTGCCCTGCCACTGGAGCTGCCTAGCCCCTGGTGACTGTCACGTAGGCAGACTCTGTGGCCACGTGCACACCAACAACTGGTTCCTTTTCTTCTCTGGGACCAATCGGTGCTCAGAGCAGACGATGGAGCAGGGGGTGGAGCCCGGGAATAACCTTCCACCTAGAGTGGCTCTCTTTCAGGGTTTCCAGTTCTTTTCAATGTAACCCATAGCAAAGCATCTATTTTCCCTTTGCATTGGGGGTACTGGCGGGGAGGGCATAGGAGGGGGCCTTCTGGGGGCTGGAAATCCCCTTGTTTGGGAGTGTTGTGTGGGTACACACACGTGTAAAATCTTCCCAAGTTGTACACTTAAGATTCAAGCACTTAACTGTGAATTTGTCACACCTCAGTGAATACATATGTTATCACAATGACCTGCCACACTGAGTTGAAATTTTTACAAAGCAATACTTATCCTTTCTACACCTGGCATACGCAGATATTTTCTAGGCTCTTCCACGTTATTTTATTAAAGCAATCGTAGATTGGGACCAAGCAAACTGATTACATGATCCTCTTAAGGGTCAGAGTTCCCAGTATGCACACACTCTCTTTTAATGGACCAAGTCCCTCTCACCCCTGAGGGCCTCTCCTGGCAGAAGGAAAAGCGAACTTGAGGCCTGTGGGGCTGACCAGCTGCTGAGCTCTGCGGATCAGGATGGGAGACAGGAGTGAGGGGAGTCTAGGCTTATTTCTTCCCAAAATAGTTCTTTTGTACACACACAGTTTCAAGTCAGTTCAGGTACCAAGAGAAATAAATCCAGTGACCCTGAAATAGCCCACATCCCAGACACAGAAAACAAAAGGCTTTAAAAAAAAATCCTCACCTGAGGATATGTTTATTGATTTTAGAGAGAGAGGCTGAGGAGAGAGAGAGAGAGGTTGCCTCCAGTTTGCACCCTGAGTTGGCATCCCAAATATGCACCCCTGCCCAGGATTGAACCTGCAACGTAGGTATGTGTCCTAACCTGAAATCGGACCCACAACCTTTTGTTGTACCAGACGATGCTCCAACCAACTGAGTACCCGGCAAGAATGAAAATGATAAGGCCTTTGAAAAGCACAGAAATGTAGAGTCTAAAGAATGGCAGTTACAATAAGAAACCCTTCTTTTATCTCTTTTCCCAATTCCTTACAAATGGACATTAGGATGCCCATCCATAAACCTTACCTCAACCCTTCATTTTATAATGTAACTAGAGGCCCAGTGCATGAAATTTGTGCATGGGGGTGTGTGGGGGAGTCCCTCAGCCCAGCCTGCACCCTCTCCAATCCAGCAATCCGGGACCCCTCAGGGGATGTCCGACTGCTGGTTTAGGCCCCAACTGGTAGTCGGACATCCCTCTCGTAATCCGGGACTGCTGGCTCCTAACCTCTCACCTGCCTGCCTGATCACCCCTAACCACTCTGCCTGCCTGCCTGATTGCCCCTAACGGCCTCTGCCTGCCAGCCTGATCACCCCTAACCACCCTCCCCTGCTGGCCTGGTCACCCCTAACTGCCCTTCCCTGCTGGCCTGGTTACCCCTAACCACCTCTGCCTCAACCCCCACCACCGTGGCTTTGTCTGGAGGGGTGTCCAGTCTAATTAGCATATTACTCTTTTATTAGTATAGATGGTTACTGAGCAGTGCATTCTGGGGAACATGGGGAAGTGGCCCTATGACTCAGAGACCAAGGACTCAACAGGAAGCTGGGAGGTCCGGTCTCACTCAGCAGAGGATGGGCCTTGGACCATGGGCGAGGCCTGGACTGTGTTTAGGTCTGAGGAGCCTCCCTCCTCCAGGCATCACTTGCTCAGTGGCCTCCCCCACACACCCTGACCTGGGTTCAAACCCGCAGCCTTTCAATGTACAGGACGAAGCTCCAACCAATGGAGCCACCTGGCCAGGACAGTTATTTTTGGCTTTTATTTTCTTTTCTTTTACATTTTTATTTTCTTTTATTTTTTACTCTTTTTATTAAATCTTTATTGTTGAATGGTTTACATAGGTCCCCTTTCCCCCTATTAACCTTTTCCAGCCTACTTCCTACCCCCAGGCCGGATGCATATATGCACACAAGGCCATTGGTTGATCTCTTCCCACCCGCCTTCCCTCTGAGGTTCCACAGTCTGTTCATGCGTCTGTGTCTCTGGGTCTATTTTTGTTCATCAGTGTATTTGGCTCATTAGGTGTTAAAAGTGCTCTGCTTGTGATCACTTGGGTTTTCTAAAGATGCAGTCACATCACGTACAAATCTTTTTTCTTTTTCCAAATGTACTTGTGGGCACATTGGGAATATAGATACCAGAAATAGAAGTCTGTGAATAAGTTGGGAAGAGGATGCGTTTTCTTTCGTGACGTTGTGTACATGATCCTATGCTCCCGCTGTGTTGAGAACACCAAGTACTGTGGCTGCAGGGAGGTTCTCATTGGCAACTCATCCACATAGAGCCAGAGCCTCCCTCTCCATCAGCCGCAGCTCCCAGGACAGACGCATGCACCCCTCAGCAGAGGTGGGGCACTTGGCCACCTCCCACAGGCTTGCCCCCTGTCACCACCTGGTGGGGCCCACCTTCCGCATATCACCCTCCATCTTCTATTCCTTTTGTGTCCTTTCCACCCCTAAGTTAATGTTGTGTCCTTAGTATGTGGCTGTGAGATGTCTCTGACTGAGGTGGGAAACCTTTCACGTTTCTCTTTTCCTTTCATCTCAGGATAACTGAGCTCTGCAGTTTGTGTGGAACCAAGGGCCCTGGGAATACAATGCTGAGCCCTCTGAACTCATTTTATTCTTTATTGTATTATTTGATTCCTGGGGTTGAATTAAACACGAAAACAGAAGAAAATATACCCTTAGATATACAATCTGAGTTATTACCCGGAGATTTCCGCGGGAGTTGACACTGAGGCATGAGACACATGTGTTTACTGGTCAGTTTCCTCAACTACGGAACGAAGGTTGAACCTGCCCCTCGGATCCTTTGGAGGTTGAATATGATGCATCCAGAGGGATTAACTGGCGGCTGGGAGAGTAAGATGGGAAGTCAACAGACACTTGTTTCCTTTACCCAGATAGAGTTAGAAAAACACAACTCCTTTTATCATAACAGCAGCAAGGGCCATGCCTGTGGGAGGAGGTGCAGGGAACCAGGGCTGCCCCCTGCTCCTGCCCCGCCCTCCCGCCCTCTGTCCCTGCACTGGCCCAGCCGCCTTTGCAGAACCACTCAACTCAGGCTCGGGCCCCGCCCATCCCGCAGGGAGGAGCATGGGCAGTTTCTTGCAGACACGGAAGCGGCTGTGGAGTAGGGAGGTGGCGGTATTTCCCGAGGAGGGTGTTTGTGCTTTAAAGCTGATGCTCTCCATCCACCTCCCAGCAGGGAAGGCTGAGGGTCGCTGCAGTCGCTGAAGTCCTTGTTGAAGTCTCCGCTCCGGAGCCTCTCACAGCAGTGAGTCCCGCTCCGCTGCCACCCAGCCCAGGTCCCCTAGGTTCCCCGTTGGCCATCCAGCGATGGGAGCCTGGGGGCGGGGGTGGGGGGAAGAGACCTAGAGGTGCTCCATGCACTTCCTGGTGTTCGGTCATCCTTTCGGTCGTTTTGGATGGTACGGACCCTGGCCTTTTGTAATGTAGATTTTATATAAGTTAGTTGGGACATGGTTAAGAAAAGGGGGTGCCACTCTTTGGGTCACCTTCAAGCATATTACGAAGGTGGTTGATAGGCATGGCAACCTCTACATGTGATGCACAGCAGAGATTCCAGATTTCCCAAAATCCTTCAAATGCCACCCTTGTTGTATGCCATTATTCCTCTCCCATTGTTGCCAACTCTTTTCAAAGTGCAGGGCTCTACCCAATCCCTAGTAGCCAGTGCGGCCATGTGGCTGGCTCTTGCCACTGAGACAGGAACAGACATGAAATACACAACTGCCATATCATTTGCTTTAAAGCAGCGGTTCTCAACCTGTGGGTCGCGACCCCTTTGGCGGTCGAACGACCCTTTCACAGGGGTCGCCTAAGACCATCCTGCATATCAGATATTTACATTACGATTCATAACAGTAGCAAAATTACAGTTATGAAGTAGCAACGAAAATAATTTTATGGTTGGGTCACAACATGAGGAACTGTATTTAAAGGGCCAGAAGGTTGAGAACCACTGCTTTAAAGGAAATCTATTTGGGGCTTATTTCTTTTCTGCCCCTGAATCCAGTTGGAATCTGGATATAGCAGGACCCAGGATTGACTGACAGGCAAGGATGGCCAGGGAATGAGATGAAGGGAACCAGGCTTCCTGAATCCCCACCTGCCTGATTGCTCATTTCAGAATTGGAAAAGGAAGCCATGGGGATCCACATTCTTCCTTTTCTCAGTTCTCTCTTGTGCTCACCAGCTGCCTCATGATCTCTTCAGTTTTAAACATTAGGGCGACTTTATCTACTTGCCAAAACAAAGTCTTTTCATGTGTATCATTCCATATAAAAATGCAATAATTCCAGGGGCAGATATGAGACTTATTTTGTAGATGAGGCACGCAGCCTCAGAAGGCTCAGGAGCCCACCCAAGATCGGACTTAGTGGGCCTCTGCCTCCACCTCCACGGCTTTTCTTCTCTCCACGGCCTGTCAGCGCAGGGTTGACAGTAGATGAGCAGAGCTGTTTCTGCAGTAGTGAGTTGTGTGTGCCTGGAGGTAGCCAAACATGGGCCAGGGATGTCACAGGAAAGATTTAAGCCCTGGAAAGACAGTAGGACTAGATGACCCTTAAAATCTCTTTCAAGGTCTCTCAAATTCTCTGATCTTGAGTGTCTGCAACATGAATATCTTCTAAACCATGTCCCCCCTAAACTTTAGAAGTAAAACATTTCTGAAGGAGCCCATTGCTATGAAGAAGACACTGTAGAAAAATACAAAAAGAATAAAAGAGACCAGTGAGCCATTTGAGAATTCAAGAAAGGCGAATTTTAATTTGCATATAGGCATAGCCCATACCTCACGCGGCAAGTGTTAGGCCAAAGCACAAATCCCTCTGTCGGAATCACAAGTCAGTAGATTTCCAAAGTAACTGGACACAAACAATATGCTTCTCAAAGTAACACATGGGTCTGTCCCTTACACACACACACACACACACACACACACACACACACACACAGAAATACATTTAAGTCTTCTGCAAGAGAGAGATGAGGATGGTAATCATGTGACCTCACATTTAGACAGCACTTTAGTTTACAGACTAACCCATTTTGTCCTCATGACAGCCCTGTGAGGTAGGCAGCACATAAATTAGTATTTACTCCATTTGCAGGCGAGAAAACAGGCTCAGAGAGGTTGCAGCACTGGCCTGAGGTTTCCCAGCTGTGGATGTAGAATGGGGTCTGGGACTCGGGGCTGGGAAGCCTCATCCAGTGGTCTTTCATAACTGCCTTTCTAGGGGAAAGGGAGATGGGTGAGTAAAAGACAGTGGTTCAGCATGTTAAGTAGAATTATATTTTCCTTGAGCAGATGAGATCAGGTACAATCAACCTTAATGTTAAAGCCATGCTGTGTGGCAGGCCAGATAAAGAATTTTTGGAATCATTCATGTATTCATAACTACAACAAAATGGTTGTTTTCTACTTTCTGTTTATCTCTGCCCTGCCTTAATATTATGTCACTAACTGAAATGAAGAAATGTCACTAGGTTAGATTTCATTGACTCAAGTCTTATTACCAGGATGCACACAGTAGCATCTGTAATCAAGTCATTATTTAAACTTACAATCTGTTGTCTTACTGAAAAGAACAGGACTCTTACTCATTTATTTCTTCTGGATGTGGACATTAACCTGGTTCTATTCTCTAGCCATAAATAATAGTTATCATTTTATCCCATTTCAATAGTAGTCAAAATGATAAACTTTACAGATTGGATTTTTAAAATAATCTTATATACTTTATAATGAACGGAAATATTTTTTTTCAGAAAAAATAAACTCAAACTTTAAAAAGAAATGCTAAATAAAACCTTTTATTTTAAAAGTTAATTTTATTGAGAATAACCCCTCTTGCTGCATTACTCTTTTCAGTTGGGAATTTAAAGGTGGCCCAATCATTGCTGACCAAAAGTCCTGTGTCATATAATACCGTGAGAGAAGAAGAGGTGTGGTCCATCATCACACACACTCCAAACTGAAATGTAATGGATGTTTCTCTTTCAAGTTATTCACTATTTATGAGTTTCATTTGTTTTAAGTAGTACTTTAAGATATACTGAAATTTAACAAACAGTAATTGGGACATTGTGCGAGAGCCACTTGAAGCTATCACAACAGTAGTTTAAAATCCCCCTCTTTAAATTCCTTCAGAGAAACACTAAGGAAAAGTGACAACACTCTACTTCATGCCTGAGTCTGTCACATAATATATTGGCCTAAGGAAGAGATTTGTCCCTGTAGCAAAACTGGATGTCTTAGTTAATAACCAATGGAATCCCCTAAAAGCCGCAAGATAATTTCATTGATAGTATGAAATGTGGGTGTTCATCTGCAAGCATGAAATGGAATTTTACTTCTGGTTTTCTGGGTTAATTTTGAAATAATAAAAGTATTTGCTATTTCATTGTTAGAGGCTGACTTCCCATCTCCTCTTAGAAATGGGTCTCATATAATGGGATATAGGCAGACGCAGCCGAGAGTGCAGGCTCCAACAATACACACGAAGCTTGCAAAGCAGAGAGGATAGGTGCTGTAACAATTGGAGGAAACATCACAAGTTGCTCTTAGGGATTTTAAATGTGACTAAATTGAGGCTTTTAAAATGTGCACTCCTATCCTATCATTTCACTGGCTCAGAAATGGTGCAGGTCATGAAAAGGAACTCCCTTGCAGGCGGGGTTCTCTCCACGATCCAGCAAGGCTTCAGGAAGCTGGAGGAACTTGGAAAGCTCAATAAAATGCTAAAGGTCAGCATAGCAACTGGCAGTGCCCATTGCTGACCACTGGGGGGCGCTTCCAACATTCTGCAGGAAATAAACATGAAAGCTTTGTCACTACTTGAAGAAAACCTGCATACCAAAAGCGGGGGAGAACTTAGAAATTTCTCTATCACCTATTTTCTTTAATAAGAATGGCTGCAGTGGCTCTGGAACATATGAGTCAGAGAAATACGGCTCCAAACTTCCAGGGAAAGCACACACAAAACCAACCCCTCCCCTCCGGAAGACTTTAGGGACTCCAAGGCAAAACTGAAGGCATTAACATTTCTAGGAGTTATTTTGCCTGAAAGTACTGTGTGTGGTCCTTTCACTGATTGTCCTGGTTTTCACTCACCTTCCAAGACTGTTTTTGAGTCACGAAAGTTAACCTTTACTTTCTTTTCTTATGCAGGACTTTGAGGTGCTTGGTGCAATTGACACATCAGTTCAAGCCCTCAGTTTCTGAACACTGAGAAATACATTGCAAGTTATGCATTGTTGGGATCCAAACAACCCATGCTTTTTATCATGCATCAAGGTGCTTCAACCTCTTAATTGAAACTAAAGAGAACAAACAAGCAACTTTCTGTAAAAAAAGAAGAAGAAAGCATCCATAAGTAACCCTCCTTGGGCTTAGTGCTACACTGTTGGCTAATATGAGCTATTGAAAATATTGTTGGAATAGTCTCAAATATTATAAATATTTTCTTTTACTTACTTGATATTTCAATATATAGTTATGTACAGAGATGGCCCTTACCATGCAGGAAAAATGTACACTCTCCATCTCTATGGTACATTATCAAAGCTGGCCCTTCCACCAGGTTTTATGAGCCAGCAAGATGGATGTTAGTCAGCTACTAGCTCTAACAACATAATTAAAGTGCAAAGAAAGAGGGAAAATAGCCAGACAGATCAGTTTTGTTCATTGTCAGCATCGATACACTTCATGCCTCGAAGTGAAAATATCAGGTGCAATAGGCTCAGACAACAATAACTGTATGTTTTTTTCTTTTCCTTCTTTGACAAAGCAGAGGTCTCCCTGAGAAGAGGGGAGGGAGGTAAACATGAGAGAGCCCCATTTCTTCAACAACCGACAATCCTGGGAATAGCAAGGTCACTTTTCCCTCGCAGAATAGCAGTACTACCCCCAGCAGTTGGTTTTCTGATATAACAGTTGTTGAGTGGTTGGACCCTTTTTTCCATACACATACAATATTTCCACTCAAAAATATAAAAATTTAAAAACAAAGATGGTGGGGGAAGAACTGTCTACCAAGTGCATGTGGAAGTGTGGGTTTTAAAAAGAAATTCTCACTAACCAACTTTTAAAACAATACAACCAATCTCCAAAATGAGCCTAAAAATGGTTTGTGTACATCAGAATGGATTCCCACATTACTGTGAGGGGGAAGGAAGAAAACAAGCACAGCAGGGTGCAAGGACTTGTAAGTGCTATGCCGTTTCACTTAGCATTGCAACCCGCTCTTCCCCACAGCGCGGTGGCCTCTGTCTTTTTCCACAGTTTTGCCGGTGAGGTGCGTGGGCACCTTTTGCAAACTCTGCACCTGCCCCTCCAAGGGCGTTGGCTTCTCGGGCACCACAGCCTCAGGAAGAAGCCCCCACCCACCCCACGAAGCCACTGGCTGGAATCCTCCGGGGCACAGCCTGCTGAGTTTTCAATGAAAGAAATGTTATGTACAAACGCGCTTGACTTTATCATATCTTTCCTCTCCTGTTACCTAAAGACTGACAAGGCAGTTTCCGAACATGCCGGTATTCCTCCATGCGCTGAAATCCATGCACATGCTGTAGATGGAAGTTGCTGATGCCAGCCCATCCCTACACAGGAAGCCTGAGCTTTTCTGGAAGCTTGTAACAAAGGAAATGTAACGGAGGCAGTGAAATCCCAGGAGAAGATGGGTAGGTGTGCCCAGCCCAGTGAAGTGCCAGAGAATCATCAGAGGCCTTGTCCAGGAATCCTCATCCCCAAGTTTGAACAGAACTTGGGGCACAGTTTGAAATTTACCCTCTTACCTGTGTCATTAAAATGGCTACCACAACTCCCATAGTACATTCTCTTTCTGCAGAATGTGCCACCAACTTTACCAAATATCATTCTTTTCACCTTCCCACCCAAGTCTGAAGCATCTGTCTTTGACCCCAAACAGCTGGCTTCCCTCACTGGAGACAGAATCCAGTTACGTTCCGTCTTCCATGGACAAAGGAGACCTGTTTTGGTCTCCATGCCCCATCCTCACAGTACTGTGGGAGGCATGGCATGCACAGTTCTGTCTGTCCCCCCTTCCATGAAAATTCCCCGGACCCAGGGCAAGGCCAAATCTTCAAGCAGGGAGCCGAGGTTCAATTTTCAGTGACAGCTCATACAGTGTATCTTCATCTATGATGAGGGCTTTGTCCAGCAAGTACTGAGTGACCTGAAGAAAAAAGGAAATCCTAGCTGTAAGTTTTTTCAGAACACTGGTATGTTGCATTTTTCTGAATAGAATCTGGCAATTCAACATATTCTCGTAAACATTTAAAAATTTACATAACTAAAAATTATTGATATACTCTCAATGTTAAAAAAATAAAATCAATGAAAGGATTAGCCAAAGAACATATAGGCATAACCCATAGACACAGACAGTAGTACGGTGATGGCCAGAGGGAAGGAGAGTGGGGGCTGGGTGGAGGTGGGCAAAGAGAGGAGAAGTGGGAACATATGTAATAGTGTCAATAATAATAATAATAATAATAATAATAAAACCAAACATCTCTAGTGTTCTCCCAACTCATTGGGCTCTTTCCTCAAGAGGCCCACTGTTATCATTTGGTTTGTATTCTACTGCTTGAATTTTGACTTTTTAAACAATTGCCTTTTGTCATGCAGAAGTTTTTTAATTTGATGCAGTAAAATTTATCAAGCTTGTCTTTTGCAGCTTTGCATTCTGTGCTTAAGGAGGTCTTTCAAATCTAAAGATCATAAATATTTTCTCCTATATTTTATTAAAATCATTTAATGTTGCTTTTTCTATTTAGGTAATAAACTCATCTAGAATTTATTTTTGTGAATGGTATATAAGATGCAGAGGCAAAATTCCTCATTTACTGAATGGTCCATTTCTTTCCAGTACTTAAAGAAAGCCTCCTTTATACCATACTAGAGGCTGGCCCTCACACCCCTGGCTTCCTCTGGAAGGTTATCTGGAAGTCTTTCCTCTGTTCAGCCGTTCGGTCGATTTGCATATTATGCTTTTATTATTATAGATTAGATTTTCATATAGATAAAATATGCATCTAGACTTTATCCTGCTCCATTTAATGTGTATTCCTGTACCTGTATAATCCGTTTTTTTAGATAATCCTTTTTAAAATATCCTCACCTGAGGATATTTCTTTCATTGATTTTTAGAGAGTGGAAGGGATCAGGAATTGACCTGCAATCCAGGTGCATACCCTTGATTGGGAATCGAACAGGAGAGCCTTTCAGTCCTCGGGCTGACACTCTACCACTAAGCAATACAAGCCAGGGCCCATATAATCCTATTTTATTCACTATAGTTTAGGACATGTATCTGAATATGGTAAGGAAAGCTCTCCCTTACTCTTCTTATTAAAAAAAAAAAAAACCAACACAAAAAACAAACAAAAAAATCCTTGTCTGTTTTTTGCCTATCTAAGCTTTCTTATTAGTTTTAGGATAAGTTTGTCAAGTTCCAAGAAATAGTAGGGAAAACTGGCTGTAAGTTATATTGGAATATTCTGTACTACCTTCTCAATGTTTTCGTAAAGTTAAAACTATTCTAAAAAATTATATCACTTAAAAAGGTAAAGAAGGAAGAAAGGAATGAAGGAATGAAGGAGAAGGAAGGAAGGAAGGAAGGAAGGAAGGAAGGAAGGAAGGAAAGAAGGAAGGAAAGAAGAAAGGCCAGTTGTGGCTGGGATAGAGAGAAGAAAGGGTAAAAGGGGTATATGATGTGAGAGGAATCTTGAAAGATGAGTAGGGACCACATAACGCAAGACTTCTTGGACATAGCAAGGTCTTTTTCTTTCTTTATCCTAAGAGCAATGGGAAACCAGTAAAATCTATACTAATAATAGAGGAATATGCAAATTGTCCGGGATGCCGTCACAGTAACAGTAACGACCAAACAGCAGGCTGCATGGGGCAACCAGGCCGATAGAGAGGGCAGTTGGTGGCAACCAGGTCAGCAGGGGTGGCAGTTGGGGGCGACCAGGCCAGCAGGGGGGGGGCAGTAAGGGGCGACCAGGCCGG